TCCGAAAAAAAAATACACCTAAGAAGTTGAATGATATTGAATGATAGTGGAATAAAACGAAATGTTCAAGTAAAAATATTTTACCTGTCTCCCGCGGGTGACAAGGGAGAAAGGAACTTGTATACTGAAGCAACCATCAACAATTTCCGCTTCATTTGCGCTCACTTCATCGTCTTCAATGCAAGGTCCAATCACAATTCTAGTTGCTCTCCTGCAACAACCAATGCTAAAATGATAGACAATAAATGTGTTTGGACCTTGAAGTTCGAAACACATTAGCCCATTTTCCATCAGATAAGTTTCTCTTGCAAACTTCTCATATAGCAAAGCTAATCCACAATCCATAACGCTTAATCACAAACGGCCATTTAAAAGCATAATCACTTTCGGTGTTCTGTAGGGTGCATTCAATTGAAAGAATATCTTCGATTATGCGCCTAATTGCAGGTGGGAGATGCTAAAAAAATAAGAATGTTATTTGAGATACACAAGTAGTATAGAAAACCAATTATTTTTTGGCAACTGATTGGTGCAATTCTAATATTTAGGTAATATGAATGACGAAAAATTTACAATAAATTTTTTAGCGATGTACTAACAACAAATTTGAAAACATGCAAGCACAAGGATTATTAGATTAGAGACACAAACCGCTTACCAATTTGTTGCTACTGGGATTCAACATAAATCTCATGAATCGGTTGATATCCAACAATTGAGGCTTGTAGCCAGCCTGTCCGGGCACATTACTCACGCCCATTACCCGATTCTTTGACACAAGCTATTATCTAAGTGGAAAAGTACAAAATTGTTCACCATGGCTAGTTTGAAAACAAAAAATTCCCACATTTTATGCCGTTACCAAGAACAAAATCAACCCATCCATCAGTGAAACATATTCTTTCACCCAAAATTCATCTGTCAGGTTCCAGTGGTGCCTACCATCAAGAGTGTCGCTATGTACCATACAAATGATGGAGAGAACCCCATCAAAGTACTGATCATTATCAGGGGGAAGCGCCTATTATCCACAACATCATTAAAATCTTGGAAACAAGTATCGAAGGTAATGCAAGTGTAAACGCCCTGGTCCGGCCTGGGATAGATCAATTCTTTTCCTCGCCGGTAGAACGTCGGAAACCTGCAAATAACTCTCACACCGGGAGTTGTGTCCGGTGAAGAGCCTCCGATGCTTAAGTCAGTATGTGTATGAGTATACTGAAGTGAATAATGGAAAAATCGTGTTAAGGGAGAAAGGCTCACCCCTTTATATAGGGGTGAGATACCTGCCCTAATAGCTGCCCGGGTAAGGTGGGCTGGCTGCCCAAACTGCCCGTCCGTACTCTGACACGCTGCGCACATGTCAGAAGTGGCGCGGGGCGTTAGGAGCTATCAGAGGTGGTTATCGCTATCAACCACTGCATTCACGACATGTGTCCTCCTGCACATGGGGTAAACATTCTCCTGAAATTCGGTCAGAGGCTCTTTCACGCGCCTGTGACTAGGCCGATATATGAAGTGTTAAGCCCGCGAAGTGGTCGACCGGTCGAGGTCGACTGAACTTCTCGACCATTCATCTGGTCAAAGGATAGATTGGTCGACAACTTTGCTGGTCGACTGTTTAACTGCTCGATTTCCTCGACTTCTTCACGGTACGACCTCCCCGACCGGTCAGCAGTCCGATTTAGCCTTGTAGGTATAATATCCTATATCATCTAGCCCCCCCACTCTGGTCTAGTCTGGATGACTCAATCTAAGAGTGAACTCCTGCTCCTTGCCTTCCTTCGTGACAAGCCGTCAAATATCGACCACCTAATGGGTTTCCCGCTCATTATTTCAAATAATTCCTCATTAGCTGCCAAAAACAAAGTCGCCTGCCAAGTGTCCTTTCTGTCGCACCCTCTTTTTTGCCACGCGTCCCATCTGTCAGGCAACTTTAATTATTGCGCCTCCTCGTCTAACGCGCCCATTTTGAACTCCGTGTGAAATAATACTTCCCACCGTAGGATCTAGCTTTAATCCGACGGCTCTTATCTTTCAACCATTTAATTTTCCAAGGTATAAATTCCATACTTAGCGGATTTTTAGACTTTTTCCATCTCTGCAACTCTCGTCTTCCTTTGCATTCGAAAATCCTCTCTGCAAAACCCTAGCTTTCCCGGCGATTCCTCCTGAAATTCTTAAGCTTTTCCAATCCTTTCATCTGCCATCATGAGTAAGTTTCTCTTCACTTGAATTTACATTTCTTGCGCCTTGAATTTGTGCGTTTTTGAATTTTTCGAATTGGGTATCTTGGATTTTGCTGACTGGGTGTTTTGAATTTGTGTGTTGGGCGTCCTTGTTTGATTGTTAATTGCTGTGAATTTTACTTCCTTCTTCAAAAATCTCCCAGAATCTTTGTTCTTCCACTTTAATTTTCCGAAATCGTCCCCTTCGTAGAACCCTAATTTTTTGAAGTCTCGCCTTTCTCGAAAGTTTTTTCTCTTTTTGATTTTGTTTTTGTTTTTTTTTTTTTCAGATCCTGCACCTCCATCTCCTTCTTCGACCACTTCCTCCGACTCAGTTCAAGTACTACCTTCTGCACTTGAGGCTGTTCCTCTCTCAATTCTTCGCCCCGGCAATTCTGTTCCTACCCGTATTTCACAGCCCGTGTTTCTTCTTCTATGGATAATATCCCCCTTCTCCATCGTCGACCGGCCTTTGGCTTGTTAGATGAGCCAGAGGAGGATGAGGTCACTTCTTCTCAACCTACTTTCCCTGTATCTCCGATCATTCCTCCCTCTTCCTCTCAGGCTGTTCCCCCAGTATCTTCGACCATTCCTCCTTCTTCTTCCCAACCTGATGCTCCAAACTCTCCTCCCAAAAAATCTTCGACCAGAAAACTTTCTAAGGCCTCTTCGAAGCGTCCATCTTCTACTTCTCTTTCCCACCCTTGGTATAGACCTGAAAAGATCGGCCAACCTATCGGTTGGGCGTTCTATAGCTCTTCTTCTTCTGATACCTTCGACCATCCCCCTGAAAACTATTAATTCTTCTTCGAAATTCAATTCAAGCTCGGTCTTCGTTTTCCTCTAAGTCCTAAGCTACTCCAGATTTGCGAGTGGTTCGGGCTTCCCCTACACCAACTTCCACCCAACGCCATCCGTTTCATGACCACCTTCATCATCTTTTGCCACGTCCGCCTTGGTCGATTCGACCTCGCCTTCTTCCACTACTGCTACGCCCCTTCCAGGCAAGGTCGAGGCCTTTACTTAAAGAGCCGCAACGGTGCTCATTTTGTCAATGACGTTCCCTCCAATCTTCCCAAGTGGATTGATAGGTTTTATTTTGTCCGACCTGATTTGCCTTTTCCTTGGCCTTTTATCCCTTGGGTCAAGGAGGTTTCTCAAGAGGTTTCCGCCCCTCCTCCAAACCCCCTTTTCGAGCAACGGGTGCACACTTGGAATGCCAAGTCCGTTGCTTCGGAAGAACTCCTCAAAGACGAGAACCTGCTCCACCATT